ATGGATCCAACTTTTTAAATCTCAAACCATCCTGGCTCAAACACATACTCAACTATGTTCCCGTTGTATATTCCTAGTGACCAATAATGAGCTTCACCGGATCGTCACGTTAAAATGTGACTGACAAATCAAAATGCAAAAGAATAATTAGGAGTGAAATGTTCCGTATGTATTTATAGCTGGAGATAGAGGAGGCATGTTTGAATGGATAAAAGAGGCGCGTGAGCTGCAGCTAGCCTTGAGCTAATTCTATCATGGTTGAGAGATAACTCCCAGATTTCTGTTTCTCATCATTTTCATCGTGTACATAAGATCAAGGCGCCGACGCTGGCTTCTGCACAATACACTTAATGACATGGGTACATTTCTTTTGAAGATAGGAGGCTGCTTTGAAGGAGAGTCCCAGCTCTTCTGCTGGGATCTGATGATGGAGAAACCTGACCGGCCTCCGTGTTGGGTCACAAAATCCAACCCGCCTCCTTTTGTTTGTGTGATGCGAGGCGGGAGGGCAGAAGAAGGACCCATCAACATTATCAAGGCAAACAACAGGAGGAAATAGCACAACTTTCAATAAGATAAACAAGCCTTAAAAAGGAAGCAAATGGAAAGACCTTTGACAATAATTGCCAATTTCATTGAGTCCAATTCGTTTAATTATAATCACAGAAGGATTGCTGCTGTCCTGCCCTCTCGACGAAGAAATAACAAGCATAGAAAAATAACAGGCTCATTTTTAAACGCCCGTAATTGCAATTTTCTACCCAAATTACAGTCTAATGATTACAGGCACGAGGTGGAGTTTGACAACAACGCAAGAAAAGAGAAGGACAAAAAAAAAACGTATTGCTAAGGACCCTCAGGCACCCCAAGAGAGGATAAGAAAAAATATTCTGCCAACGGAAAATCAGAGCTCCCTTGCACCACTAGGAACCAGGGTTACGAAGTGGGTTTCTTAAAATCTGCAATCCCCAGCCCTTTCCCTGGGCCAATGGTTAGGGGCTTGGAGAATTTAGTTCCTCACTGCTGTGCTGGAGAAGGGGTTGATGGGAATTTGGCGTAATGGCAAAGTATTGAGAGTGAAAGCTGCCAAACACTGAATACCTCAAGGGAAAAGAAACAGAGTGATAGATTAAAGGAGGGAGAGAAAGGGCTTGTTGGAAAAGCCTGATGCACGACAAAGCTGAAAAGCACCTCCAATGAAGAGTAAATCCCTAAGCTCATTGTCCTCAGTGTCCACTTGAAGAGTCATCTGGAGGAATTACCCAACAGAGTCACATGACTACTTTACAGAGGATGGATAAACATTTTGGCTTAGAAAATGTGAGTTTGAATACATGAGACGTCCGTACACAAAAAGTATTCTTGAGAGCAAGACGGACACATTTCAAAAGATAAAGGATTTCTTTTTTTAAAAGCAGAATTGTGGATGGAAACCTGAAAACACCTCTAAGGATTGTTAAAATCAGTGGTTACCAGCTTGGATATCCGGTGTACGGGGGGTGAAAAGACGATAAACAATATGTCTAAAGATATATTTCTTTCTGATTTTATCTAAAATTGACAGAGATTCTGAAAATGTATTCATTTAAACTGAAAAGTTTAATCTATTGTGGGAATGTTGCCTTTATATGCAGGACATGAGTGGGTTTGCTCGGGTTAGTACAACAGAGTCTATGAACTTTACATGATCGAGCCCATAGGATCAGTTTGTACTCAAGTCATGCATTGCTGAGCAACCAACAGAAGGAACTGAAATAATACAATGAATGACACACACACACACACACACACACACACACACACACACACACACACACACACACACACACACACACACACACACACACAGAGCATTAAGAAATACAGACGCCTGGGAACACATGCAGGATGCAATCACACAAACCATTCACATAAACACTCAGGAAAACACCCACTTTTCCAAACACTGTTGCACTTCAGATGTACACACACCCTTTCTCTCTCCCTCTTTCACACTCATGCACACCCACAACAAGACATACATATAGCAAATCAGCATGAATAAAGAAGAGGTGCAGTTGTGTTTCACAGCCTAATCTCTGAGGAGAAAAGACCTTGCCGCATCGGCATGGATCAGCCCCGGCGAGTTTGGGACACTGCTGGTTTCCAGGAAACCAATATATTTGTTTATTGTCCTGGTGTTTTGTCGGCGGTTACAGTTCATTGCAGCCAGCCCATCTTGGGCATGCTCCCTTAAATGGCATCTATAAAACATAAGATGTGCTCTCCCCATGTCCTCCTCCTCCTCAGTACATGACGGAGCTGCACACGAGCGTAACAATGCTGCATTCGTTCGCTATGGTAGGCTTTGAATTTTCCTTTAAAAACCCGATGGATGCACCCCGGCAGCTCGAGCTGGATCATTGAGAGGTGGAACAAACCGTGCTTTCTAAATACATTAGCCTATGAACACCGCTGAGCTGCAAATCTCAGGGTGCTGAAATCGGGTGTAATCATGTAGATAGATGGCTGAGTTTTTTATTGTTCCACTAAGCCAAATCTGCAAGGCTGGTGGTGAATACAGACTTTCTGAAATGATGCAAGACCTCAGATTTGTGGTGCTGCATTGCTCTGTTCATTGTGACAAGACACTGGGCTGTGACATGTGTATGTTTTCTGAATATATATTCGGCATACCGACGCTATGGAAACCGGGTGATGTCAGTGTTACATGGAGAAATTTGGAGGGACTTTAGTCTCAACAGGCAATCTGAATACTACCACAGGGCTTCGAATACATACATACATAAGTGCAAAAACTCAAATGTATTGTTTTGTCTCATGCCTGCAAAACACAAGCCAGACTCTCATATTATGCCCTATTGATCTGACAGCATGAGCAGGAAGCTGCCGGAGAACACAAATACTGCCTGGGGTGGCTCCTTAAAACTAGAGACAAGCCTCTTATCCCTGGTGTTCTCTTCCTCTGGAAATCACCTGGTGGCTCATGCATATCAAGTACTCTCTACAAGCCTCCGTCTGCGCTCTGCCTTCACCTGGATCTGTTTTTTGTTGCAATGTTTGCGAGGATGTTGGCTTTTAAAAAGAAAAGCACGACTGAGATTGCAAACTAATCGGTCTTACCTCTACATCTGGCTGTTTTGCAGAGATGCTGTGCCACATAAACGGCATGAGCAACCATTTTTGATTCAACACTCCTTTGGGAGTATGCATGACAGCAGTGACAAATGGCAAGGTTATGGTGGCAGGATGTTTACAGGTACAAAGACAACTTTATTCTAAGCCTTTAGCTCGATAACAAATTCCCAATTCTTTTTTTTTACAACAACCACTGCAGAGCGCACAAATCTTTTCCAGTGTTGCTATCAAATACAGTGTAACTGTCACAGGGATCCCATCTCCAGTAATCCCTTGGTGGCCTTTGCTCTGTCTGTCAGCAATACCAACCAATAACACGGCACAATAAAACCCTCCAGAACAACAGTGGGCCGCAGGCAGCTTCAAGGGCTACTGACGGCTATCTATAAAACAATATAATGGGTTGCCTGTCAGTGAGTGTGAAAGGGAAGATCTACGCCTCCTTTGACTCTCTGACGGAAGGGACTTCAATTAATCACAGCAGAACTTATCAGCCGCATTAGGAGTGTAAGGTTATTACCATCCTCATATTCTGCAGGATGAAATGCGATGATAGCACTAATTGAGGGATAAAAAGAAAAACAGCTGACCGCACAACTTGTCAAGGGGATGAAGGGCAGATAAAAGAAGAGGGTCAACAGAGATAGGCTGATATGGAGAGGAAAAAAAGGCAGAGTAGGGGGGGAAGTGGGAGAGTCAAGAGGGGAGGGGTTGTAGAAATAGAAATATTCACAGTGGTGTGTAAGCATAATCATAAATATCTACAGTGTGTGTGCAGAGCAGCTGGCAGCCAACATAAGAGGCCGTTTTCATTAGGGACTCCGTCCATGTCTTCTTAACGTAATCCAACATGATAACGGCATTGTGCTTTTCTTAAGTCACAAACAAGCCGCTTATAGCTAGAGCTGCTTTTCATTCATTTCATATTTAAGTTGAGGGGACTGACAGTGATGGAGGACACAGCCCACAGCATGCAGTCAGCTCCAGGTTACAGTTTAACTGTGGGGAGCCATGTTTTTGTTTGGGGGTTACCTTACAGGTGAAGCTTGGATAAAGAAATACGATGCACTCTTTTGTGGGGGCAAAAAACTGGAAAACTGAACACACCAACAGATTGGATGTATTCTACTGCATCACATTGCAAGAAAAGACAATAGATAGATAGATAGATAGATAGATAGATAGATAGATAGATAGATAATGATAAGAAAGAAAGAGGGATTATTACATGCCAGTTTTTACACAAGATTATCAGTGTTGAATCCAGTAAAGAATTGTTTTTAATTCTTCTTATCTAAAGCCATGATCAGACATTGTCTTGTTTGCATGCATGCTGATGGGACCATGCACACCACACATCATTTGCCTTCATATCTATGGGGGGAAAAGGAAGTTGGTTTTTGAATGTTCACCCATCTGAGAGTTCCTTTAGTGCCTTTGTGCACCCAAAAAAAAATCAGCCACCCAGATCCCTCTGAGGGGAACTATTTGTGTGTCTAATTTAAGCAGCCAATGACTGTTTCATCATGTTGCTGCACAGATCTGATCTTCTCTGAATGAAAACAGCATGACGCTTTACATTACCCAACCCACAGCTACACCTGTACGCCACATTAAATCATTAGTTCCTCACAAGTTTATAACTATTAATCTAAGGGAAGCAAACGATCATGAAATCGATACGCTTATTTTTATTCTAGCGTTTGGATGATTGGCTATATCGCAGTGACACGTGAGCTGTTTGAAATTCGCATTTAAATAGTTTGAGGTCAATTTCCCAACGTTGTAAAAGCCACAGAGATACATTAGTGTACACAATACATGACAACAACATGTTTTAAGGGTAGGCTATGTCAACTTACCTGTCGTTGTGCTGTCAATTAATCCCCTGAAACGTCCCCTTCATTTATTCTCCATTGTCAACCACAAAAACCAGGGAGCTCTTCTTCACAGAAATGCCATTTCCTCGTCGTTTCAAGACGCCCTCGACAACACATTACCTAAAAACACTAATATAATGTCAGAGCTGTACGGACTCTCAATTCCCGAGTAAAATAAGAGGAAATTGGGGCTGGTGCCTACTTGCAGGCGGCGGTCTAAAAGTCTATAAAAGTTGATGTTCCTCCGGTTTTGACTCACAACTTCCTCCCGGCCGGAGCGGCTCAGCAGCTGGACAACACGCCGGGCCGTCACTCATACTTTCTGGATGATTATTATTTTTGAACAATCCTCCTTTTGGGTTGCGGTTGGGTTTTGGCAACGTCTTCGTGCAGTTAGAGAAACGGATTTGAGGTACCCGAGTGGATGAGAGGGAGCAGCCGGATCATGTCAGTGTGCAGAAGCTGTGGGGCTGTGTCTGTATTTTAGCGCCACCCAGTGGAGTTCTGCGGTAGGGACAGGAAGGATCTCACCCAGCTCCACATGATAATAACCGGATGAATGGGCTTTCTCAAGAAAAACAGCTCACTATCTATAACTGAGAAATAAATGTCCCTTAATGTGGCTTCACTTGAATTTCCAACGGTAATTGTTGCTTCCTACGTTGATTAATACATGTTCTGTATCAATGTCCACCTCCTATACTGAGGAAATGCATTGCAAAAAAAAACATTAATGTGAAATGGTTTGGAAGTGCATGATGAAGCTATCTTTTACAGATGTATATTTTTTTATCTTAACAAATTAAAAGAATATAGAACAAAATTGTGAAAATAGGCCACATTTTAATGTTTAATGAAGATCTTTTAAATAAGTTGCTAAATTTGCTAGAGAGATTGTGCACAGCAATATTTTTAAACAAATACCAGCTGCATGAGCATGCACAAGATATGCACATGGCACACATAAGAAACACTTTGTATGTAATATGTTATCTCTTTTACATACCATAGATCTTACAACTATGAAATTAAATATAAATGCGTTCTCCCAAGAAAAGTTAGACTTTCTTCTTAGCTTAAAAAATTCAAAGGATTATGACTTCCCCTTTTTCTGACAACTCTTCCTCACATAATCATTTGTGAACAGTCCCTTTCCACAGAAGAGCTTTTACTGTATGTGCATTAGGCTCCTGCTCACCAAGGTTATCATAATACATCTGTGTGTCTCTGACATTCAACTTCCGCTCTCCTAAAACATTATTGCCTGGTCTAAAGGCTTCCCCTCAGTAATTGCATTATCATCTCTCCATTTCTCTAGTCTGTTTAGGCCTGCCCTCCGAAAGACAGCAATGGCTAGAATAATCAATACCAACCTTTGAGATAGCCTGTGGAGATGCGAGGCAAGCATTTGGGTTTGGATTTGATTGATTTTGGACACCCTCAGAGAGTGTTATCATCATAAAGCCAATGCCATCTAACTCATAGACATCTCTGCAAACACACACAAAAATGCAAGCAGAATCAAAGGGCAGAATACCCAAATCCCAGGGGACTGAATACAAAAAAATGTCAGGCTATTATCAATGACCTGGCAGAGCCATTACATTCAAAGCAGATACATGCCACATTGCTTCATCACTGGCTATCGATAGAAAAAGCTGCTATTTTGATCGTATTGACGTCATTCATATATGATAACCAAAGTCATTCTGCCTCCCTCACACATACACACACACACACACACACACACACACACACACACACACACACACACACACACACACACACACACACACACACAGACACACGCACCGAGAAAGGAGATGACCTCATTAATCTTTAGTGCATTGTATAGACCCATCCTGTCATCCCTCTGACACTGTGGTGTGTGACACGGCTCTGCTCATTAAATCATATGACAGGATGAGGTCAGCCGTGAGGTAAGGTGTCTCAAGCTGTGCGAGAGTAGATAAAGTCCGTATAGCCTCTGTGAGGGAGCTCAGCAACAAATGTATGCAGCAGCTGAAGTGAATCACGAGGTAATCCCAGTTAGTGAGCTTTATGTGTCAAAAATCTAATGAAAAAGCATCTGCTTTGGTTTCTTTGAGGTCATATTGTGTGTGGGGGGGGGGGTGAGGAACACACATGAGCTAAGTGTGAGGCGTCATGTACATCTCACAGAGGATACAACACTTACTGTAGTTGGCACCGTGCATTGCACTCATCATCCCATGCTTGTCAGCCTGTAATTACTTTCTCTTCACACATGAAACAATAGATATGGAGGGCGACATTGATTGTGGTGCTTTGGCTTAAAATAACAGCACCCTGCAGGGAGCCCTCTGCCTGAACCCTCACTCGCCTTCACCGCAGAAGTGTGTTTGAAGACAGTGGGACGCCTACCAGAAAATTGCAAGAGGAAAAATAGGAGGCATAATGGCTTCAGGAACAGAGCTGGCCATCAATAATGCAGAGGAGGCAGCGGTTAGTGCTCCCTTTAATTCAACAGGTCTGCAGACAGCGGGACAGTTATTCTTCCTCAGCTGCAGATGCTCGGTGAGAGGCAGCTACATCAGGCTTTATGGCTTTGTGTGTGGTCGCACTGCCAGGTCTTTACCCCGACCTCAATCCCGATTGCAGCCATTAATGGGTTTTCATCAGGGGCCCTTCCTAATGGAGTTTCCAACTTCTCCAACTCGCTCTGATGCCAGTGGGGAGCTGTAGCCACAGAGAAAGAAATAATGCCCAAACAAAGTCAGGATATATGATCTCAATTTAGTCCGGCGAACATTGAAAGCGTCGACAGCTTTAATAAACAAAAATGTAGCACAATCAAAACAGCCAATGTAACACTGCAAACATTACCATATAGAACATATATTGTCTTACAGGTCGAACATTCAAGTTTGACAAAAGTTCATAAATCTGCCATCAAGAGGAGGAATAAAATGCTTTTATGAATGTTTGTCAAAACGTTGTCACCTACTGTATGGGAGAAATCCTTAAGACATGGGAAAACAGATTGGGTCAAATAAAATGGCAAACTGCTTGTTCTCTAACTCATTTAAAGAAACAATAGAAAGTCACACACTCATAACCCAGATGCAAACTGTTTGATGAATCTGGTGAGGCTGCTCTCTGTTTTTATGGCCCTGAACTGTGGAGAAACCTCTTCTTGGATATTAGAACAACAAAAAACTCCCTTAAAACTATATTAAAAGTTTGTATTGTGATCCAACTTTTTTTAAATTGTAGTTTTTTCTATCACTAGTATATCTTATTTTTGCTTATTTTTATCTCACTGTTGACTGAATATGTGCTTGCAAGTTTCTATTATTGTATATATTTAATATACTAAATAACAGTGTAGGATGAAAGTGTCTATCCACAATTTAAGTAGCAGTACCATTACATTATATTAAAAACTGCATTGTAAAACTTCTACATTCAAAATTCTACTCACTGTTTTGCTGTTCGTATTGAAAGCAAAATGTACTTCTAAAGTTTTAAAGTATCAAAAGTATCTTGTTCTGCAGAAGACTGACACCTGTATGCGTCTTATTAGTATGTGATATTATATGATTAAATGCTGTAGTAAGTACAAAATTGAGGCGATAATACAAGAGTAGTTTATTTGATGTCTACAATACCTGTAAGCTTCACCAGAAAAAAAAGGGAGACAGGATACAAATCTTATTAAAATGAAGATGCTGTGTAAATCTCACTCCAGTGCATTCATTTTGCAGGGTCACACAATGATAAAGAAAGTCCAGTGGTGTTTTTTGTCTCTGTTTTTATAGTGACTGCATCTTACATGACATTCCGACTTTCTAATACAGATCTGATATTATATCATAGAAACAAATTCTCCCGTTGCTTCACCGTTTCTCTTGGATTCAGAGCAGCCTCTGAGAGAAAAGTAGTGGGTCATTTATCAGCAGAGAGATTAAATCTTCATCCACTGCTTCTGGATGTTGAGAGTACTTTATCTTTGAGAGCGGAAATGTTTTTCTTCTTTTTTAAATCAATTCTTTATTGCAAAGGAAATCATTTCATTTCATGTTATCACTTGCCAGCAGGTGGAGTTGGAAACAGCAAGCCATAAAACAGCTGTTATGTTAAAAAAAAATTGATAAACAGACATTGTGTTAACACTCCTGCTGAGTCACAGAATTACGATATGTCAGTGATAACATGCAAGATAGACAAAACTCCCATCTGTTAAAGTCGTTAACAAACACAATTATTTTTGTGAGCCCCTTCTACAGCATCACAGCTCCAGTTGATTTCAATTGGTTCTCATCTTTTGAAACTGTAGCTCCATCTACTGGAGAACACACATAGGTACAAACACCTCTGTGAAATGAAAAAAACAAAACAACATCATCACTGCATGAAACTCAGCTTTACAGTCATGTCAATAAAGCATAGAAAGTGTTTATAAACTATAACCTTCAGGAAAGTACTATTATATCTTCATACAAAACTGATTTCTGTGTCCTTGACTGTAGTACAATTGAATAAATGGCAATGCATAGTTTTCTTCATATCAACAAAAAGATTTAGTTTTGAAATTCAGGGTTGTTGTGAAATTAGCAATACCACACTGTGAAAATATTCCATTACAAGTCAAATCTTAATTCTCTCCTCATAGCATCAAAAGGAAATGGAGTGTGGACTGCTACTTGGAGAAGTCCCAGTTCACCTCCTGCCCTGCCGTGGTGCCCTTGAGCAAGGCACCGGACACCCCACTTCACTCCGGGCGCTGTACAATAGCTGCCCACTGCTCCTAGTACTAGACTCCTGGTACTAGGATGGGTTAAAAGCAGAGAACACATTTCACTGTGTGTGCTGTGTGCTCTGCATGTGTGACCATTAAAAGAGGGTTTCATCCCTCCCAATTCTTCTTCTATTCTAAATGTACTGCAAAAATACAGTCAATCAGGGAAATGCAGTATATACTATGTTGTGTATTTTTATAGTTTATTATGAGTAAATCTACTTTCCACAACTGCAGCAAATAGTGGAGTAAAAAGTAAAATATCTTGCTCATAGAAGTACAGTTTATATTAGAATAAATACAGTACCAGTCAGAGGTTTGGACACACCTTCTCATTCAATTGTTTTTGTTTATTTTATTTTTGTTCTACTTTGTAGATGAATACTGAAGACATCAAAACTATGAAAGAACACATATGGAATTATGTAGTTAACAAATAAGTGTTAAAAAATCCAGAATATGATTTTTATTTTATATTCTTCAAAGTAGCCCCTTTTGCCTTGATGACAGCTTTGCACACTCTTAGCTTCTCTCAGTCAGCTTCATGAGGTCGTCACCTGGAATGGTTTTCAATTAACAGGTGTGCCTTGTCAAGAGTCAATTTGTGGAATGACTTGCCTTAATGTGTTTGAGGCCATCAGTTGTGTTATGCAGAGGTAGGGTTAGT